CAGGAAGCAGCAGGGTCTTTCTGAGGAAAACTGTCTTGTTTCCTTGGCTCCAGTCACATGATAATGCTGCTGGGATGTAAGAGGCACGGATGGGCTTGACAAATCAGGCCAGATTTTCTTTCAGTTGTACTAATTCAATTATCCTAAAGTCAGTCCCAAAAATGCATTCACAGGTGGCATGGGCAGCTGGTGTGGGTGGGCTTGGGATCACAGTAAGGATCTCTCAAAGTACAGTACAGCCATCACCCCAGCATTTTAATGTGGCAACCTAAAAAGCTGGAGTACCACACATGAAAATACATTAGAAATGCACATAGGCAAAGCCTTTGTTTATATGGAACCCATTTCATTTCAAACACTAGAGGTATAACCATCAAACACAACAGCAGCATGCACTAATGACTATTTAGTTCATAGCACCAGATGTTACTGTCTTCTTCAGTAGTTCTAGTCTTCACTTCCCTAAGACTAATTTGCTAAAACACAAAGAATAGAGAAACCACACAAAGCAAGTGTCAGACTTAAAGCCCCAAATGCAACCACCTTTCTTCCATAGTTTCTTATACTTGCCTTCAAATGTCATATAGTCCTGTTGTATATTTATTACAGATGTAAAACAAATGTATATCTTTTCTGTTCTATTTTTTCATTAAAAGAGATATACACTAAAGCATTTCTAAAACTGCAGCAATTATATTGACAATATCTTTTAAACAGATAAATTTTTCATTACCTCTCTAAGATGCATGTTTTCCTTCTCCTTCTGATCTAAAATCACTTCTAAATGATTGACCTGAGATTCAGCCTCCGCCATCCTTCGAGTTCTCTCATTGTCATCTTCCATTCCTTTAGATGGCAAACCTTTACTTTGCAACATTTCCAAAAGCTTTTTTATTGATTCATCTCTGGCATTTAGTGTTTGTTTTTGTGTTTCAATCCTAAGCTCCATTTCTTCAAGGGTTTTTCTCAACAGGAAGAGCTCTTTAGCTTGTCTGTCATGTTCTGCTTGAAGTCTTCGAAAATTCTCCTCTGTGAGCTCAATAGTAAAATGCTCAGCCCCTCGGTTTCCGCTTTCTTGCTGGAGAAGATGGTTAAGGTCTCTCTGGGTTCTAAGCTCATCTTGAAGTGCCTGGATTGTCATTTGCAGATGCTGCAATAAAGGAAGAAATCAGTCAATTTAGGATCTGAACGTAGGATTATTCTTCAATTAAACTTCGTTAGAATCAGTGATGAAAGTATATCAAATGACCTTATAAAATAGCAAATGCATGTGAAAAATGTCTGTAATTATATCTTTCAAGTGCTTCCAGGAAAAAAAAAAAAAGACAAACACACACAAAATAGTGTCAGCTACAGATAAAATAAATAGCAAAGAAAGACAAACGAACAAACCCAAACACTAGGCAGAAACACATTCATTAGTACAGTCAATATGTACCTACACAGCTGAAAGACTCAGTATTCCATGTTTTCTAAATTATTTCATAGACTAAAGGTAATTCTGCCCTTCGTGGTGCTCACCAGTATCGTTGTTAATGAAGTCAATCAAAGCACTCACTATAATTGAATGGAGGCTTTGGGGAGAGGCTGAGTTGGGGTTAGTTGGTTTTGTTTGGGGTTTTTTTGGCAACTAAAGCTATGAACAGGTTTAGTAAACAGGATTACTGTATCTCTAACAAGCAAACAAAAATCACAATAAGCAATACTGAATTTTGAAAAATAAGTTAACTGCAAATAGTGGACAAACCTTTGTTCTCCTGGCATCCAAAAACTGAACAGCATGGTAAATGAAAAGATGAAGCAAAATCAACACAAATAAAGGTCAGATGCAAGCAAAGGAGATTCAACAGAAATAACTGAATTCAACAAAAAGTACCTTCAACAGAAAAAAAAATAGTTACACAAAAAAGCATCAACAGCTTCACAGTACTCAAGTATATAAAATTAAACTGTAGACAGACTTCACTCAGTAGATGTGACAAAGAAAAACATATTAGAACAATAAATCTCACAGTGAATATTTTATCCTACTTTATCTTACTGTTCTTTTATACTTTAAGTTCTTTCAAAACATGGTAGTTTGTCCCAAAATTTTTATACTACATCTAAGCACATTGGTATTTCTCTGTTCAAGGGGTAAATCTTGCACTCCAACATAAATCAAAATCAAAGAGGACTTTGCCCATGTTAAGGCTGGAACATCAATAATTATCCTAAATTACTATGATTTCTGATGTTTAATCCAGATTATATTTTTATCTGATAATTTTGTTTTCTTCTTATTTTTCCCCTTTATTCACCGCCTTCACAGCATACTGAGTTTATCAGAATATGAATTCCCCAATAGCCACATGGTACCAGAAGGCTTGCAGGAAGTAGAACTTAAATGTATGGCACCAGACATTTTTACATTAATGGATATCCTGCAGCTCTGCATTCTAAACACAAAAAAAAAAAACCCAAACAAAACAGAAAACACACAAAAAACCTACACAAACAAAACATCATTTCATTTGATGCCACCTTCATTTTCACCATAATTACAGCTAAAGACATCTGTCTTAATAATAAAAACAATAACTTAAACAAAATGAAAAATGCAAAACTGGAAGAAAATAACTTGTTGAAATCACATTTTTATCAGTTATTCCAAATGTTAAAAAGTATTGCCAGTGGTAGAAATCTGTACAGTTAGGCACTGTAAATCCATTTTAGCTTTAAATAGCTCTCATTAAATGTCCACATCTTAATTCTCTGAAGATTTCATATTTATTAGGCACACACTCAGTTAAAAGCATACAAATGTAGATTACTAATTTATAACCCTGCTTTTATTTAATGGTAATTCTTATATTTTCTTAATCTCATAATCTTTTCAATAATTTATATAAACTTAAAACCTCCCAATAAACTTAAAACTCCTCCATGTGCAGCAAATTTACCACTTTAAATCTACTAACATTTAGTGCTTATGGCTAAGACTGACAGTTTTAGCACAAAAATTCAATCTGTAAACCTACATAAAGTTTTCAAATCATACAGAAATTACACTCGATGATTATCATGAATGAGCAAATTAAAGACACAGCGAAGCAGTGACAAAGCAGGACAGATGCTGCAAAATAAACAAAGTCATCCCCTTTTAAACACTTTTTCACTACCTATAAGTCGAAGGGACATCATTTTTTGTAGATTACCTTAAGCAGTCATTACAGTAGTTTTGCAATACTTTCAAACTAAATGTCATCTTGAATAAGAGAATACAAACTTGCTGCATTCTCTAATCCTTTGTAGCTTTGACAAAGGTGAAGAATAGATGCCTGAAATGACTGAACTAAGAATGATTTTTTACTAAAGGGATTGCAAGTTAAAGGAATGTCTCCATTCTCATCTTTGAGAACATTTTAACTCAGCTAATGACCTTGCAAGCTACCTTAAAATTACACTCAATAGTTTATTTCACTGATAAGGTGGTTTTTTAAAAATTATTTAAGAACTCATAATACAAGTTACTATCTTGAAGCTCAAGGAACAGGTTTTTCTCTGTTCCAATTTTCTTATTGTTAGTGGTTGGGGGCAGGGAGTGGCACTTAAATCCCAGGTTCTTACAGAAAGCATTATGCATGAAACTCAAAGCTTCCATTTAAATTTCCCGTTTGTTCAAAGGAAACCATGAGAGTGTTGCAAAATGCTCACATCTACATATTCTTCAAAAGAATGACTGGCTGAAATAACCTATAAAAATAAAAATTTAATTCCCATAAACACAGCAACTACCAGTAGTCTAGAAATAGTCAAAAGAAAATATTTTCTCTGATCTGAATAAAATATATACTCCTAATGTTAAATTAGGTAGTATTTATTACTTGATGCTAAAAAGATTTACAGATAAATGTTTTCCTAAAGTCAAGTGCTGTCTGTACACCAAGTGCCTGCAAGTCTCTAAGACTTCAGTTAAGCAGAGATAAACTAAAGTATTTAAAATGTTGTAAGGCAAAAATAAAAGTTTAACATACATGTTGCCACCATACAACCCCTCTAAATGCAAGCTGTAAAAGCCAAAACTGTTGGATCAACAGAAATAATTAGAAATCAGGACTACAAGAGCAATTCTGATTAAGGTAAACCAGACAACTTCCTTTCCTGTCCCACACTCACCTTTTTACATGGCTCCTGGGTTCTATCCATGACCATGTTTGTCACTAAGCACATCAGTAGTCGTGGCTGCTTCTCAGCAATTATGTTAAAACTAACAGCGTCAACAGTGGCAGACTACTGCTACTTTGACATAAGGGAACCCAGTTTTGTACAGCTTCAAGACTTAGAACCCTCTTTGAACACGATGGATCAGATTTAGATGTGCTGGCACAGTGTTGTGTGTCTGCAGCTAGCTAAGAAAAGGTAAGAACAAATGTTGTGAGGGTGGAAAGAAATTGTATAATTATTTCCAGTGGGAGAGAAATGTAGGAGTGCTGTGATTATCTGTCACACTGCTGTAGACATAGAACTTTATGGGATTTTTTAAAAAGAACCTGTAAGAGCTATCACATTTTTCATAATTTCTTTTAAAAACAGACCAGTTGACCACAAAAATATTTCCCTGCTAATTTCTTGGTAATAGATAAATAGTGCTCTCGGAACTTTCTCATTCCTTCTCTATAGCCCAACTCCAAAAGGCAGTCTAAGTGCACAGAAAGGTTCATTAATCTTTCTCTGAATTAAGCATAGTGCAGGTTTTCAAAACTTGTCCCCATAATTTGAAACAACACTATGAAACGAAGATGAATTAATGGCCCTTCCTGAATTCTGATTCACATTTTACATAAGGAAGTTCTAATCCGTGCTAACTAGCTATTCCCAAAAGAATCACCTGTAGAGAACTGTCCTGCCACAGTGTATCTTGGGCCAGAAGAGAGAAGCACATGCAGAGCATCCCAAAGCCTTAAATATCTGACAAACAGTGGAGAAAAAGGATATCACAGGACACCCACTGATTCATAATTGCTAGTCTACCTACAGAAGTACAAAGCTTACTCTGCAGCATCACCAGAGCACAAAAGCAAAAAACACATTGATTAAAGCAATCTACTGTCATGTAAAAACATACCTACTACTAATATGAAAGAAAGTGCCCTTGTGTAATGTTAAGAAAAATTACAGCTGGTGCTATCTTGACTGAGAAAGCTAACATGAAGGATTTGGTGGCAGACAGTGGTCTTACGCTATCATCAGCGGATTTTGAAACATACATCCATCTATACACACTTTGCTAGTAGTTTTCTATAATGTAGTGATAATCTAGCAAGCTAATTCCTCAGACAGGAAATAGTTCAAATTTGTGCACCAGAGCTGCTGAAGCATTCTGAGCATGTTCTTTGTTTCTGCTCTAATTCAGTACAGCACTATGACTGAAGAGAATGATGGCAAGATCATCCAACAGATTTGAAACAACTATTTCTGTAGCTATTCAAGATGATTTGTGTTGGTGCTTTATCCAAAAAGAGCTACAGCTACTTTATTGGACTTGAGAGTTTTTTCCATGTCTAATGCATGAATCCTACCTCTCACCCTCCACTGATTTTTTACTGACTTCTAGTGTCCATCTCTCATGTTTCCATTTTGTAGCTCCGAATTCTCCTGCTTGTATCAAACTCCAAATACAAGGATAAAATGTATTAGCTTTATCTTCTGGGACGCCCTTACCTGGCTTTACAACAATTGAGAAGTAGTGAGTACTGTGATAACAGTCTGTCTTATCAATGCCAGAACTTACAGATAATGTGACAGTCAGTCTGACAAAGTGAAAACCAACAAAGCAAAATCCTTCAAGTTTAGAAGGAATAGCTGGAGTCCAGGAGAGAGAGCAGGTCTAAGCAACAGACATCTACATGCTGCAGGGTAGGGTGTGAGGTGAGGCTGAAGTGCCTTACCTTACACCAGGCAGCTAGCACTATGGGAATACATAGGAGCACACCAGGATGGATTCATGACAAAGACTTCCAGAAGAGCTGGAGATCAAACCAAACTCAAGATTTCAATATACTCTTTGGGTTGGGTTTTCTCCATTAATGTACATAAAAAATTACAATTGATTTCATCTGTTATTTATTATCTGTTACAGCCCTTGAAAAAGCACAGCCTAACTATTTTTCGGAATCTATTCTTCAAACGACAAACTATTGTTTTAAAAAGCCTCTGCAGCTAACTTCTTGACGGCCTAGGATATCTTAATAAGTAGCCTTGCATGATCACATTATCTCTACAGTGCATGCAAAGAAAAGAATATTATGTACTAACTAAAATGCCCCATGTCTTGGGCCATAAATAAAGAGTTTACAGAGCTGGATCAGTTGATATAGTCTAGTCTTTTTACAGTGGCAAATATGCGATGACACAGAAGACTGGGAAAAAACCCACCTGTGTAACAGTACACCATAGCAAGTTACAACTGTAACTGAATACAACTGAACAAGCATAACAGCAAATCATACTATCAACTATACTCTCATCTTCTACAATCAAGCTTTGGTTTTTTATCATCTGCTGCTGCTCCATTTTCATTCTTCACTCTATGAAGTTCTATCACTGAAAAGTAATGAACTATGTAAAACTTATGAACTACTTCTAAACCATTTTTATACGTTAGTTACACTACTGAAGCAAGTATGAGCATTAGACTTGCAAATATTTAGAACTAAACACTGTTAAAGACAAATGTCCAAGTGTTGCCTGATTTAGTTGAGAGGTGGCATCCCTGGCGGCAGGGAGGCTGGATTAAAATGATCTCTACGGTCCCATTCAGCTTAGGCCATTCTATGAATCTATGATTATTTTCTTCTGTAAGAGAAAAGCAGAATGGGAATTGGAGATATTTTCTTCAGCAGCATAAATTAAGAAACACATCTGCTCATCTGTCTAATGCAATTTAGAATTTTGGCATGTGAACAACACTGAGGATCAGTTGACAAATATTTTGCTTGAATAAAACAGGACTTATAGAGGTGAAAGGAGAAGATAGATTTAATTTGTGAGGGATCACAGGAGATTCAGACCACACACAATGCATTTTTAGTATTAAATATTCTGAGGTGATACAACATCTGCATAACATCATTTTCTCGTAGAACCATGTATTTGCAAAGGAAGAATTCTTGTTTACTGACTTTCCAGAGATCCAGCTGGGTACTGTGCCCATCTATACCCTGATGTGCACCAGCATCTACCAAAGCCGCCTGCTTCTGTGTCTCTGATACGCCAGGCCATCGAACCCACACAGTCCAGTACACCTGGTCATCCTTTTCCTCCTCCCGGCTGAAGGCAGGGACTCTCTATTTCTGTTCAGTGTATTCACTGTCTGACCATTGCAGAAGTTTCAGACCAGAAGTTTCCTCATCAGGATCAAGGAATGCGGTATCAGTTCTTCTGTGTCCCCAAGATTGCCAGCTGCCTTCTTGTGCCTGCACAGCAGCTGCGCTCACAGCCTTCCTGTGTGGCCCCTTCTTAACCTGCCTTTCCTCTCAGCTCCCCTGCACAGGCTCCCAGCCCAAAGGATTTTCCTCATGTCCTCGCCCTGGCCATGCAGGAGGAACCAGGGTGCACCATGTGGCATGTGCCTGAGGCTCCCTTTCCCCCTGACCAGGGCAGGAGAGGACTGCAAGGCTACCAATGCCAGGGCAAAGCACACGGATTATTTGTATTAATCTGTACCCAAGCTCAGCCCACTTAACTCCCAGAGCTCTAGCATGCTAGATAAAAATACAAAAGGGCCCTTGTCTTGTGCCGCATGTTGGGGCACGAAAAATGACTGTGGTGAGTGTCTACCAAACTGCGCCACCACTCCCCTAAACTTGTCCTTAATACTATGCTTGGCAAGTTGAACAGTGAGCCTTGAAACGTACATTTAAATCTGCATTTCTTAATACAGCCATTAGATATAATCTGAACTATCAGACTTCATTACCATTCAGTCAGCTTCTCTGGGTCATCTCACACAAATATTTTGGCAAAATACGTTTAAGACTAGAAAGACAAAGTATTGCCTAAAATAGAGGTCATGGTACAAAAAATCCATCTCCATTTATAACCAAGTGGTAACTGCAGGCTAAAACATTTTAGTATTGCAAGTTTCATAGTAGTTTTGCACCCAATTCTTAAGGCACAATCTGTAAATATATTTCTTTGCCGATTCTCTGGTTTGCTGTGGGCTGAAAGACATCATTTTTCATTCATTTCCTCTGCTTTGCCATTTCCCCTAAGTAGGTGGGCTAGCACAGATACAGTTTGTCATTCTGTCAAATAATATTTGTCCATAACAGATATTTACAGACCACCACAAATGTCTCTAAAGCACTGGAGGAGTTCTTTTGTTAAGTTGAAGTACTTTGGGTTAGAAGAAACTAACTATACATTTTAAATATCTATCCCTATAATTCTTTCCTTCTTTCTTTCACTAAATTCCTCCAGCACAGCCAATGCCTTCTGTGCTGTGTGATCTCATTTCAGGTCTTTCAAATTCACCTTGCTTCTAAAATGTAATACTTCCTTTTTTTTTTTTTTTCTCTCTGAAGAAAAATAGCTGAATATTATTTGTTGAATTATTTATTAAGTGAAGTATTTCTATTATTTATCAACCAGCTTTAGCCAAAGTCAGAACACAGTCTTATCTGTGTGGAGACACAGTACATTTTGTCTCAGTCCACACTTCCCAATAGGAACTAGGTTATGGTGTACCTTGCAGGCAGTAATCAGTATCTCAAAAGCACAAATTCAGTACCACCTTCGTCAATTCCTTTAACGTAGAAAATTTTGAATTAATCTATATGCTTTCTCTTATTGATAAAAATCACTTTAATATTCATGGGAAAAAATCTGTAGCCTGTAATCACAAGAACCAGCAGACTAAGAGGAAAGAACTTTTAGAAATGTAAGTCAAAGACAGCCTTGAGAGCAGTAGCCTGCAGAAGACACACATTCACAAAAATGCCCATATCAAGTTTTCTAGTTACAAAAAAAAGCTTCATTAAAAATGTCTAAGTTATCGGCATCACAGCAAAATGCAAGTAGGTGATAATTGCTGGTACTATTACAACTTTTAAACAGACCAATTATGCTGTTATGACAAGACTAGGGATGACTCCTTTCCCCTCTTCCCACTGGAAAAATGCTTCTAGTATGTTTTTTAGGACTGAGCAGTG